CCAAGGATCGATAAAGGTATCGGGAAGACGAGGTAGAGTCCGGGTTTCCTGTACTGCGCCGCCATTTGCGCTCGAGGCGCTGCCTGCACGGGTGGCATTGTCGAGCATCTGAGAGGCGGCAGCTACCGCCTCGGCAGCGTTCTGGGGCTTCTTGGCTTGGTGGTGACCAAAGATCTGCTGCTGCATGTTAGAGGGTAACGGCAGACCCTTGGATAGATGCTTGAAAGCTCCAATCTGGGCGCGCAGCATAAGGAGTTGATCTTTGTTCAGCGGCATTGAACCAGCTGTCGCCGATGTGGGGGTCTGGCCGTCGCCATGAGGAGCTTGGCCGCCAGCAGTCGCAGTCTGGATGGTAGTTGAAGGGCCGCTCGAGGCAGGCGCAGGCGTAGCGACTTTGCCCTCAGTGGGAGCAGCTGGCTTGTTGCCGTTGGACATGGCCATGCCGGCGCCGTTCTGTTGTGCGGCTTGGGGGTTCATCTGGCCTTGTTGGCGCTGCATTTGCTGTTGCCGCAGCATCTTCTGCTGTTGCTGGAACTGATTTTGCTTCTGCACCATGGTGAGAAGATTGCGCGCCTTGATGAACTCGGGGTTAGTCTCGGGCACGCCTTGTTGCTTCATCCGGGTGTAGCTCTAAAGACCGTGTTAGTAAGCTTCTCGAGCAAAGGAAATTGCTCAGGGCGCAAGGGAACACGCGGTTAAGTGGCAGTACGTACCTGGAAGACCTGCTGAATCTGCTCGCGCGTAATGTTCGCAGCGAGGGGACCCTGCCCCGGCATTTCTGGATTGGCTTGAACCGACGCCATGCTGGTGGTGGTTCAGTATAAATGTTGTGTTGCGCGGTGGATAGCCAAGATGCGAGATGTCGACTCTCGACGCGGTCGCGGGTCGGGGTAGGCAGCAGTCGCGCAATTATGAGGGAAAGACAGTCGCGGGCGGGATGGGGGGCGCGTGCAGCGATTCTATAACATTATCGTGCGGCGTCGTGGTGGTGGCGGCCGTTGTGTTGATGAAGCCGATGAAAGACCTTCGGGGGTGCGCCGTTGGCAGAGTCGCGTTGTGTGGTGAGGCTGAAGGGGGTGCGCGCAATTTCGGTGGGGGAGGTGGCAAAGGCGCGGGCGCGCTCTAAAAGCGTTGGAAACCGCTATACGCGTCGTGGACAGCGTGTTGCGGGGATATTGAGATGCGGGCGCAACTGGGAGTGATATCGGGAGTGGTGTTGAACGTCTGCTGCGGCGGGCTGGGACGTCCTCTAGCCTGGAGCGTTGTTGCGTCGCAATCGAGTTAGCGCCTTGGCAGTCATGTGATGGCTCAATTGGGGCTGTGGCCAATCAGCGCGTGGTGGGCGTCCTGCTGCGCTGCTTTCACTCCTCCTCGTCCGTCTTCATTCATGTTCACTGAAGCAGTGGTTGTGGGGTAGACAGATAAACAACGCGCTTGACGTGGACTAGTGCCGAATAAGCCACCGCATCGGAGGCGGAGGAACGAGTGGAGTGGGTGCCACGTCCACGACCCCTCTAAACCTGCTACCACAGTCCAGCGAACATCAAACCCCTCTCCCTTTCTTACCAGGCCTGTTCTCAATGTTAATTTCGGTCAGACATGCCCAAATCATGGACCGAGGCGCCTTGTCCTAACTTTACGCCTGCCTAGCGGCTCTATCAGCTAAAAAGGCCTTGGTGGTGAGGATTCTGGATTTGCGCTGAACGACGGTGTGAGGCTCCCGTCGCTCTGTTTAGCCATCCGCAACGACGCTCTATCGCATACACACATATACGAAAGTCCAGGCAACTGAAAACATCTCCTCCTCAATTTCTAGTGCATGGAGGATTTGCTTTTTGATCAGCGCATTCATCTAGTCCAAGCGTAATCATGTTGGCTCCAAGTTCAGACTGGGCAGGGTTCTGCGACCAGGGCAATCTAAAGATGCTACAATCTTGGCAAAGATGTCATTCAGCTACGGACTCGTCGCCAACTATGTACATATCGAGCCCATGTCAACTCTATTCGTTTCCAATATTTCCACGATCAAACCCAGTTCCTAGGTGAGTGTGGGTGCAGTCCAGTCAATGTACGTCGCAGCGTCTGCACCAGACGGACCCTTCTCGATGTTGGCCGTGTTCGAGGTCTGGTTGAGCAAGAATTTGTTGATGAACGCAGTAAGATCAGTCTGCTGGTTGGATGGGAACGAACAGTGGTTATGGTTGCCAGAGCCAGTGAACCCCATGTTGTCTGGCACACCGAGAGCCTTGTAGATGAGGCGACCGGCCTTCATACAAGCAGTAGTAGAAACGGGACCGAGCCAGTCAATCTCGTTCTCGATGACCAGGAGACCACGAGGAGCAACCATACCAGCGAGTTGATGATGGTCGGTAGCGAGGGTGTTGGACTTGGTGCTGAAGGAGTTGAACCTCGTGGAGAACCAGACATTTTCGCCGACGATCTGGCTGGAGGTCTGGATGTTCTTCCCCTTGGCCTTCTCAGAGTCGGAGATGCGCCAGCAGGCGGCACCACCGGAGCCAGACTCCTGGGGCAGACCCAGGGCGATACGGTCAACGAGCGCGGCCGCGACGAAAGCACCTTTTCCGTTGCGAGAACATCCAGTCACACCAACGCGCTTGGGGTCGATGCCAACGCTAGGAGTGGCCTCAAGAGCATCGATGATGCGGTCGACACCCCATGCCCAGGCGGTGAGAGCACCAGCACTGTGGCTGGAACCGTACAGGTCGAAGAACTTGCCTTTGCCACGGCTGTTGCCACCCTGTTGCTGAGCGATATCGTCGTTGTTGAAAGTGATTGTCGCGACATTGCTCGGGACTGGGAGACTAGCAGCGCCATATGCGATGATGGCAGGGAAAGGGCCAGTTCCGCTGGGCTTCTTAATGGAAACCGAGAAGGAAACCGACTTTCCTCCCTCGGTCGAGGTGATGGAAAGAGAGGAGCCAGAGAAGGTGGCCGTGACGCTTGATGATTTCTTGGGAAAGTCACCGAGCTCTTGTGCCTGCATGGCAGCGCTGACCTCCTTGTTCTTGCATGCGAAATCGGCTTTCGTAGTAACAGCCCTTCCGTCGAAGAACTTGAAGGGGTTCGGCAACTTGGAGTTGGCGGTGGAGGGGAAAGTCGTTGGGACAGTGCATGTCGCGTCCTGGCGTTTTTCCGTAGCCGGTGCCGCGAGGACGGTCGTAGCGAGGAGCGGAAGGACGAATGAGTATTTCATGGTGGGCGATTCGGCGATATTGTAAACCTTTTGGACCAACACTAACGATTGCTGGCGGGTTTTCGTCTCTTATGTAGTGATGATGACCTCCACAAGCATTCCGTGTTCCCGCGGGGAAATATAGCCACTATATGAATGCATGATTATGACAAAGTGAGCTTCGTAGCGTGACTGCTCTGCAATAAAGGCAACACGTCTTGGCGCCTGCTGGTCTCCTTCATGCTCGCCACGCGCTTAAGGAGCAGGGGTTATCATAGCAGGAGTTATGGTTGCTACATTTGCGAGACCCATTTCTAGTGTAAGTGCTAGAGGCTATTCAGTAGAGACTCGTGTAGGATGATATACTGCGTTTTCGTATTATGCCATTGATACAGTCTGGCATGAGAATGTTGGATACACAACGTCTCCCATGTAACTCATGCAAGCATCTACAGTACTGCCTTCAGCAAGTAGCACAGCCTTTTCCTGCATCGACAGCTCATTGATGGGAAAATTAGTCGTCATCTGTATAGTCGGTGTCATCGATTGGAGTGCGAAAGTTCCCTTGAGCCGCGAGGAGACCGCCTCGCACTATAACACCCATGACCTGCCGTGTCTCCCAAAACGAGAAGTGACCACCTGAATATTGTTCAAATCCGGGTATTGTAGACTCATATGGGCATGGCGCAGTGAAGCGGATGCCATGCCAGGACGTCGAAATGGACCTCGTCACAACGTGAGAGTCGATTGGACGCAAGAAGACGTATGCACTCTAGAAGCCCTGGCTCGACCATTGAATGGAAATTAATACCGCCATCGCGGTTCTCTGTGCTTCCCCACGTTGCGGGGTGCAGTGGGGCTCTTTCTGAAGTGCCGTTTAGCCTGTGCGTCGGCCATGCAAGATCACCCGGCAGTATATGATCGACATTGATTCCACTATGTGTAGACCTCTGTTCAGTAATCCGTGGAGACATGTTGTTACTTGTATCTTCAACGTCCTGCTCAGAGGTCCCTCCGTGGGCTCAGCAAGTAAGAGAATTGCGACCTTTGCATCCAAGTATCAGCGTGGAAGGGCCCTTGGGAGACGCGGGATGAGTTGTCGCGCGCGCTTCATTGTTATTTGCAGTTCTGGCACTGTGCCAAAGTTCTGCGACACCCGCTGCTGTTGCGTTTGTTCTAGTACTGAAGGAGCCCATGCCCCTGGTATCGCGACATGCATGAATCGGCTATACTTGACTCTCGCATGCCAGGGACATTCAACAAGGTCGTGATTGTTGTTGCTGTTCGCGAGAGGTGAGATCGAGAGGCTACACTGTCTCCAAGCTCTTTCTCTAGCCTAGCACAGGACATGGCGTTGTCGTGAGGTCGCATTCAGCCATGAGAATCAGCTTACGTACAGATGCGCAGCGTATAGGGAACAGGAACGGCTCCCATGTCAGGGAGAACAAGTTCTGATGATGATGATGAAAGTTGAAGATAGCAACGTGGAAGGAGCCCTGAAGCAGAGGGAAAGACCCGTAATCGCGCTTGCCAGAAACCCTGGCGCTAGTGATCGCGGCTTCGGCACCCCTCCTGCGGCCTCACGGGAGTTTCAGCAGCGTCCACGAAATCTTGAGGAAAGTTATATAACCGAACAGCGCTGCGCAACAGTATCAGGTGTGTGTGTTCGTCATATCCTCGTCATCTTAGATCATAAGAGAAGGAAGTAAAGGTGAAGTCTGACTGGCTACTTCCAAAGCAAGTGTAGATTTCAAAGCAGTCCACCGCTCATTGGCCAATCGCCTCTACCCACCCCATAACCGTACATATGAAGAGAGCTCTCCCATCTCCAACGGTCGATACTTTCAAGTCGGCCAAAATGTCAAGCGAGCGGCAAGCAGCGGATGCTATCCGGTTCTACGACTCGAAATCCTGGGATTACGACGCTACCTGGCACAACGATTTCACCAGGCGATTCATCTCCTATCTCGATATCCAACCGGGGCAACAAGTACTGGATCTGGCATGTGGCACCGGGCTGTTGACATTCCGCGAGGCAGAGGCGGTAGGACCACAAGGGCATGTCATCGGAGTTGATGTCACCCCTGGTATGCTCGCGGTCGCTACTCACAGAAAGACCCAAGGAGGGGACAAATACGCAAACACAACTTTCCTTCAAGGCGACGTCCTGCATTTAGAAGAGACGGAAGCACTCAGAGGAAAGCAATTTGACGTCATCACAGTGGCTTCTGCTCTGGTCTTGTTTCCCGATCCAAAAGCTGCTATTGAGCATTGGGCAGGGTTCCTGAAGCCTGGAGGCGTCATTGCCATGGATGCGACACATCCGAGGAACTTGGTCTCCGGCATGGTACTGGAGAGGGTTGCCCGCAGGTTGGAACTTCCCATTCCATATAATCGATCGTGGAGCAAATCAGAAGACACACTGAAGCAGATACTGGAGTCTGCGGGCGTGGAGGTAGATCAAGTTGTTACCGTGGAGAGTCAAGCGGGATATGGCCGACGCACTTACGAGATGGAGCAGTGGGATGATTTCTTCGTCGAAAACGTGATTGTCAAGGACGTTGCGAGAACGTTTGCGAACAATGACATTCGAAGGAAAGCGCAAAAGATCTATAGGGAAGAGTGGGAGAAGCTGGCGATAGACGGAAAGATTGAGGAGATTGACTCGGTCTTCCTCGGTATTGCGCGGAGACGTAAGTGACCCAAAGAGCTGAACCAGACAAAACTAACGTGCCATCTAGCTGCGGACGGTTCAAGATATGAGCCACAAGTTATACACGATGACGTTGTCTTCAAAGGTGGATGTCGCTGTGGTGGCGTGCAATACACATCGAGCGCCGCACCTTCAGACATCACACTGTGCCATTGTCGCGCATGTCAGCAAGTCTCAGGCTCTGGCTTTCTGCCCTTCACACACGTTCCCAAAGACAGCATCTCCTTCACGTATGCGGACACGCGCACAGTCCTAAGACTATCGGCCGTTGCGGAACGTACCTTTTGCGCGGGCTGCGGAGCTCCGATCTCTATGTCATATCCCTCCGATCCCGACGGTCTAGGGTTGTGCATGGCAACGGTCGATCTGGAGACCCTTAAGACGGAAGTAGCACCCAAAGTTGTGAAGCACATATTTCTGCGAGAAAAGGCGCCCTGGGTGGTACTTCCCGAAGATGGAACGGAGCGGTGGGGCACGTCAGAAGACGCGCACCTGCTCGCGCAGAACTAGACAGTTCGAATAAAAGTGTAGCTACAAGAAGATGCGGTGAACTTGTAAGGGTACGCGATTATTCGGTGTGAAGATTTGTGGGGTAAGTGCAGTGGGCGAGTGGGAGTACCTCCACTGATGGGAGACAGATGTGTGATGCCGCAATCACACGATACCGCGACCAGTGTCTCAGTCGCTGAATCTCCTGTTGTTGAGTGAGCTTCTTCAGATAGGCCTTCCCTGCTCATTTCAACGCGTACTGGGCCGTGCGCTAAGTGTTGCACGATGAAATGTTTCGAAACGCGAACGCAGACCGAACGGCTTGCAAACAGGGACGAAGGCAGCTTACAGGCTGTCTTGCATTAGAGCATTCTGGCTGGCAAGGCGTCATTGGACTCTCTAAGCGACAGCTACGTGTTGCGGTGTGCGTTGCGTACGTGATGGGGCGAGCTAGCCGTCCCAGCCTCACAAAATCTAGTTCCCTGCCACGCTGTTTCCTGCCAACCACGCGAAACAGCCCTCGAGGACAAAACCTCGCCCTTTGCTCACGAAACATTGAACCCTCTTTTTGCTCTCTGGTACACTATACCGGCAGTGACACATTTTACTGCGTCTCTTACCACTTCTACCGCCAAACATTCGTTGACCGCCGCTTTACCTTCCCACGACCCTCGTTCCGCCTTGTTATCGATAGATTGACAGTGTTGGCCGGGTTACCCTCAACACAACCCCGCCTAGCAGCAGCATTGAAACCGTTGCTTTCGCGTTTCATACGTAAACATCCATCTGCTCGACGATCTTTGGGCGACTGACGCATTCCTCGCCCGCTGACCAGCGTGCCTTCTTGCAACCCCGGCACCGGACGTCCTTTAGCGGCTGTAGTTTGGAATGAGCCGCAACGCCCCTCACAACGTGGAGCTCCAACAGCCGCCTCAGGCCCCTTATGCGACGCACCGCTCGAACCACAGTCGAAAGATCTCGAGTCCCGTGGTCGGCGATCAAGTGCACAGCTTCGACGACGTGGACATTACCGGCCTTCAACCACCTCCTTCCGCTTTAACACCCACTACTGCAACGGCATATGACCCACATGCACCTTCCCCACTAGAAGACTTCCCTCGATCTGGCCGAACACACCAGCGGACATTGACTGGTACCATCTTCGACAACTTCAATCGCGCAACATCGACAATCCAGCAACATACTTCAAGAGCATCTTCACCTACAAAGTCCTTGGCAAGCTTCATCCCCTCCAGAGGCGCTATCGAGTCCAGCGCTAGCCAGCCTAAGATTAGGGCACTCCAAAACTGGTTCAACGGCTCCTCTGCACCCGTGACGCTGGGTGTCGGACAGCAAGACGAATACTCGGATTCTGGTTCTGAGTCGGGAGAGGAATACGACTCTGAGTCCGAGGAGGAGGAAGAGCAGAGAGGCAGCAACATGATGACCAACCTCTTCAACCGCGGCTCTTCCCTTACGAGGGGCACATCGCAGAGCCCGAGACGATCAGACGACACCCAAACACCGAGCAAGGCCCCGAGCCAGCCCACCACTAGCAGCAAGTTCGCATGGCTGCTGTCCACACAAAAGAACGCCGCTGTACCCCCTCCGCAGCAGTCTCCCACATACCACAACCCCGACGATGAGCTCCTCAACTTGAGCATCTCGCAGTCGCTCTTCCCACACGGACCTGCCGATCCACTGGCACCCTCGTCCTTCCACGACCTCCTCACCAACGCCGAAGCGCTCCTCTCTCGCTACCAGACCGCATACCGCCAACTCTCTACCGCGTTGGGAGATGCCCATGCCGAACAAAGTGCGCAGGACGATGAGCTTGACGAGGCCGAGACACGAGCAAGGCATTTGAAGATGCAGCTGGAGACAATGGCGGCAAAGGCAGCTGAGCAAGACGAGCAGATGCGAAGCCTCATGGAGGACCTTGCATTTGAGCGTAAAGCCCGTCAAGAGGAAGAGGCGGCTCGTAAGAGGAGTCTAGCCCTCATCAGAGGCGCACCACAGTGCGACCACGCTCCATGCCAGGAGAACGCCCGCCGCCACAACCGCGTCTCCGGCTCAGAGATCAGCGTCGATTCCGGCTTCGAGTCTGAAGCCGAGACCGATGCCGCCAGCGTCTTCTCAAGAAGCTGCCTCAGCCCCACCGGCACCGACCGCTCCTCCATTCTCGACACCGACATCCACGACATCACACCCAAGGGACGCAAGCCGCAACCCTTGAAACGCGGAAGCACATATGAGCAGAGACAAGAGGGCAAAGTCGACATCGCGAAAGGCGGATGGGGATGTGCGAATTGCCAGGGCGGTGCACAATCCGCTGTTTGGGGTCGTCTGGCAAAGGAGCGAGAGGAGAACCGCTCGCTCAGACTGAGGGTCGAGACCCTGGAGGAGGCTGTTGACGGTGCTCTCAACGCCGTCGCTGGCGCTTGGGGCGTGTAAATACCCGTGTACAAACATACATGACTTTGGAGTATATTGGCGTTTGGTATACCACTGCTTGACGATTGGATGACTATCAGATTGGTTTAGTCTTTTGAAAGATGCAGCGCATCGTAGTATAGTATAGCATGAACTACGCTTTACATTTTCGCAACCACTAAGGCAATGATGCAAGAGTGCTATACACAATGAATTCGCTCCATACATCCAACTAACAAGTGACACCCCCCTCAGCACCACTCACAGCTTCTGCTCCCCACCACAACACCCCTTCTCCTTCTCGACCAGCACACTCGCCTGGTTCTTCGTACTCGGCACATCAATCGCCGGGTTCCTCTCAAAGAAATCACTCGGCTTGAAATGCACCTGGTAAATCTCCACCGGCATAACAGGCCAGTCCTCCACCCGTGGGTTGTGCGTCAGTCCAAACACATTCCACACCACCAAATCCTCATTCTCAACCCCGTCTTTGCGGGCCGCCATATCGTGCACACCCCCCTCCTCCAACTGACTCTGCATCGTGAACCGTCCCGCGGCATACAGCTCGTCGTCTTGGTACTTGGTCACCCATACATGGTGGTTCGTGAAGAGGGCGCGCTGCGCTTGGATGCTACCCGGCGCGGCGAGTATCTTCTGCGTGGGCAGCGGCGCGAATTTGTAACCAACGGGGTTCCCTGATTTGGGATTTGTCTTGGACGGGTTTATAATCTTAAACACGCGGTGGTCGAAGGGATTTGCGTCTACGCCGCCAGATTTGTCAATGACGGTTTTGCGGATCTCGTAGAAGTTGCCGGCAGGGTTTGTGGTTGCGTTGATGGGGGTTGAGTGGGATTCTTCGTATACGACGGTGTTTTTGTGGCCGTCGATTGCGGGGTCGAAACCTATTGGTGGATGGTTAGGTAAGTGATTCTTGTGTTAGGAGAGATTGAGGATGACGTACGAGCTGCGAAGATGTGTTGGTGGTTTTGGGCGAGGACGCCGCCGGAGACTACGTTTCCGTAGTCGGACGTCTTGCCTGGGTCGATGTTTACGACGGAGACGATGCCGGTGGCGCGGACTTCGAGGGTTATGCCGCCGGCGGTGTCGAGCTTGTAGGCGAAGACGTATTCGTAGTTTGCGAGGGTGATGATGAATTGGATGACGAGTTCGCGTAGTCGGGTGACTACTGCACGGCCAGTCCGCCAGTTGGCTGGATTGGTGGGTTAGTCTGGGATGAGAAGTTGGGATGGGTATACATACTGTGCTTCCAGCCAATACCGTTGTCTTGCTCGTGAAGACAGACTACGTTGGGATGGACCTTTGGTTCGCCATCGTTACCAACGACGACGGCGTCGAAGTACTTGATCACACCGAGGCAGTCACAGCCCAAGGAAAGGTTGTTGGCACAGTTGCCAGCGCCTCCGTCACCGAAGTCGAAAGCTTGCTTGCGGTGGAATGGTGGGCGAGCATCAGCATACGGGACCGACATCTCTGAGATGCTCATCCGGTACATGATACTCCTGCCATCGTACTTGACGTCGTGCAGCACGGCTCCTTCACGGGGGTTGAACGAGACCCTGAAGCTCCACTTCTGCCACTCAACCAGTGACTCGTCTGTGACGCTGAAGGAAGGCCCCTCTGGCTGTGTGATATTGATGGGCTTCACGTCTTGTCGAAGACCGCCTTGCAGTAGTTCGGGAACATATTCTGCACCTTCGCAGTGGTCCAGAACGCGCTCGGAGTGTGTCTGGCCTGTGAGGCTATCGCCCTTGCCACCAGTGGCTAGACGATCAACGCGGATGATCTTTCTTGTTTGTGCATCCATAACAGGAATTAGTGGTAAGGGGTAGGCGTAGAAGTTTGAGTCGGCGTTTCCGTTCCTCATGTCCTGGGCGAAGCATAGTCCTTGGAAGTATCTTCGATTCTCGGCACCAATATCAAGACCACCGTATGGCCTATGGTCGTTAGTAATGTGGCATCCTGAAGTCGACATGGGTACCTACCAAGGCTCAACGACCAACTCAAACCCATCAGGCAGCTTGATCTCAGCCATAGCTTCCTTGAACATATCACTCTCCTCACACGCTTTGACAAGGTGTTGGAACTCCCACAACGTCAACGCAGCCTGCTTCTCCTTTCCTACAATCTCATGTCGTACTCTCTTCCTCTGCTCAACATCAATGACAGACTCGTGGTACTCTGGTATCTTGTCTGAGCCGATGACGTCGTATTGGCACTTGGCCAATCGTGGTGGTCGCTTGGAAGCTGGCGACTGTCCTGGTTTTGCTGCATGTTCAAGCTCAAGGTACTGTTTCATGAGCTCCTTTGCTGGTTCTTGGAGGAAGATCTCTCGAAAGTCGACAACGCAGTCTTTGTGGAGGGAGAGGACGGTGTCACGCGCAACGCGTGTCTCCTCTATGTTGAGGATACTGAACGGGTGAGGTGCCATTGTGTAGTGTATTCTTGAAGGAAGGAAGGCGGTATGATGTTGTCTTCACCCGGAGCTGGTGTGGCGTAGATGGAGTGGAAGAGAAGTCATCAAGTCGGGAGGGACACAATCCAATTTATCTACAGACGTACACATTCTG